GTCAAAGACTTTTCTTCCATAGTCTGCCCAAGTGACTCCTTACAGCAGGGAGTGACCAACTGAGAGATGATGCCTCTCAGTTCCCAGACCCACAAGTTGGTGTAAAAAAAACCTCTGCCTATGGAGCAGTGGTAACAGTACAGGGAGGCTTATCCTGACTGAATCCATTTTTCCTCTGACCCCTGTGGTCATATTCTTCAGGTTAAAATTTTGCTGAGATCTTCTCATAGACCAGCTAATGAAAGAAAGAACTAGATTAGAATTCAATTTCTAAAAATAAATGATAATAGCCCAGTCCTGAAACTGTTTCCTATGAAATAAGGAAGTACACACACAAGCGACAGTCTCATGGGGAAAACTTGTAGGAATACTTTCTCCTAGATTACATCACCAACAGTCACGTGATGTAAATCAAACAAATTTCACAACCTTCTCACACTCTTGCTGGCATCTAGATGACTGTCACTGTCACTCATCCCTTGACCTCAACCTCCTCTTCTCTCCCACTTCCCTTAACACAGAAAAGATCCTGGAGTTCACACCACCTCCAGAAGTTTCTTTGGGACACTTCTTCCCATCTTCTTGGTTTGATGGTTTTCTGAATAAATCACTTTCCTTGCCCCAAATGTGGTCTTTGAACATAGTGGCTGTCATGTGGTGAGGAGGATGGTCTATAATTCAGCTACTAGGGAAATAGAACATTTGAGAACATTCTATGAGCCTTTCCCAGGTCCTGCAGTGGCCACAGCCTGAGCCCCCCCTGAGCTGCCGGTAAAGGACCTGATCCCAGGGATTTAGAACATAGAAAGCACCCTCCCAACTATTTTCAGGAAAAACATGGATGGAGAAAAGGGAGTTGAGATAGGGAATCCTGGAGACAAAAAAAAAAAAAATGGATTAGCAGAAAAGATGACAACTGGGTCAGTTCTGAGTCACATGTGCACAATTACACATGAGGGGAAGGACAGACCTTAAAAGTCAGACTTAGGATGATGTTGCACTGACCCTGTCCCAGCTCCCACTGCTCCTAATCAGGAAATCCCACTGAGTATTGAGCCCTGAATGTGACTGAAGACACATCAGATTTCTCTAAACTTCCTCAGAACCCTGATTCTGGTGATAACTCTAGGGTCATTTTGGCCCCTATAGTGAATTTCTGACTTTTGTGCAGGTGGGAGAGAGTCCTTACAATACCAAACCAACTAAACAATGTTTGATATTTAGGAATTGTTGGGACAGGATTATAACTGTAGAGACATTCTTCAGAGGAAACTGTTATCTGGAGAGGAAGCCCCAAACCCTGATAGGAAACCAGCTCTTAGTCTCCACCTGCACCCGCCCTGGGCTGAGACTATACTTTGTGGTTCCCAGGTACCCCCTGATGGCTTCCTGTGCCCTCAGGAGGTTCATGTTTGGGCTCACACTGTGGTCTCCTCGCCATGTCCCTCATGCAGTAGTACACAGCTGTGTCCTCGGGTTTCAGGTTGTTCATTTGCAAATGGGTAACACTTTTGGAATCATCTCTTGAGATGGTGAATCTACCTTTCACGGATGCAGCATATTCAGTGGTTCCATCATCAGCTTTGTTTCTAACAACACCAACCCACTCCAGCCCCTTCCCTGGAGCCTGGAGGACCCAGTTCATCCAGTAATCAGTGAAGGTGAATCCAGAGGCTGCACAGGAGAGTCTCAGAGACCCGCCAGGCTGGACCAAGCCTCCTCCAGACTCCACCAGCTTCACCTCACACTGGACACCTGCAAACACAGAGACACCTGGTCAGAAACTTTCACACACACCCTCTGTTCTCTCTCTCACATCCACTCACACACTCCAAATCTCCAATTCTCCATAAATCACCTTGTATTAAAGCAATGAGGAGAAGCCAGCTCAGCCCAGACTCCATGGTGGGTCGTTTGTGTTCAGTCCTGAGCAGCAATGGGCAGATCTGGGAGTCCTGAGCTGGTGCTCTTCTCCCAGAGTTGTGGGGTCAGGGCTGGGCTGGTTTTCATGGGCAGAGGGAGGCCCTATTTGCATGTCCTCCTACTATATAGGAGGTCTGAGGTGGGGCACAGAGGGAGAGCAGAACCCACGGCAGGTGTGGGTGTACTGGGGCAAATATTTGACCATTGTAGGATTTGGAAAGTTGTGATTGATTATTATAAGATTGAGCTGTGATAGAAGAATAGCATACCTGACAAGTTTATTTTGAATATTTTTACTTTTTTTTGATGAAATCATAGCTGTGTACAATAATGCTTTCATGGGGTAGGGGTACAATGTGCTGGTTTTATATACAATTTGACATACTTACAATAAACTGGTTCCTATTGCCTTCACCGCACTTTCTTAATTATTGTTGAAGTTGTTTATACTCTACATTTAGTAGATTTGACTTTTACCCTTGTAAAATGCACCATAGGTGTGGTCGGATCGATTCCCCTCCTTCCACCCATCTTTCCCCCTCTCCCGCCCTCCCCCTCCTCTTTACCTTTCATCTCGGGTTGTAGTTGGGTTATAACGTTAATATGGAAGTGTGGGTGATTATATATTGGTTTCACAGTAGAGCTGAGTACATTGGATACTTTTTCTTCCATCCTTGGGCTACTTTACTAAGAAGAATATGTTATGCAGGTTATGTCTCTGGCAAAGGTTTGATAATCAGAATCCACAGAGAATGCAAACGTATTAGCAAGAAAAGAACAAGTGATCCCATCTCATTGTGGCCAAGAGTTTTGATTAGAAACTTCTCTGAACAAGACAGGCCCATGGCCTACAGACACATGAAAAAATGCTCATCATCCTTAATCATCAGAGAAATGCAAATCAAAACTATGTTGAGATATCATCTAACTCCAGTAAAAATATTTTTATATTTAAAAGCAGTTTTATCCAGGTATAATTAGTCAACAAATATTGCCTCTGTTTAATAAAAGCTTATTTCAGATAACATTTTTTTTTGCACATGCAGAGGAAACACAGTAGGTACTATCAGATGTTTTCTATGTGCAGATGCACAGTTTCAAAGAGAGGCTCATAACATCTTTCTGTGTTCAGAGCTCTCATCAGGGTGGAATGAGCCCCATGTCTGGGTTTGTGGTTCTCATGCCTGGACCCAAATGCTCACTGAACCAAGCACCCCAGTACTGACTGAGTGATTATCCTTGCAGACCCTTTTACTTTTATGGGAATTTGGCTTGAGGTCTATTGACTCCTGTTATTATCTTATGAATGTGAATTGAAGCTGAATTAAACAGGTGCATTCTCATGTATCTCAGACATTTCTCATGTTATATCTGTCTTTCCCTTTTTTCCTTTGGACAAACTTGTGCATTTGTTTAATGTTAATCCCTTTACTGAGGAATTTAGGCACATTCTCAACATCAGAGGAGTAAAGGGTAAAGGTTGGGGAGAGAATCGTGTGGCCCTGGGGTCTATCACTCACCCACTCCTTGGGTCCAGGCTGGGGCTGAGGAGTGCTCATGCTCTGAGCACCCTGGGCAGGCAGCCTCACTTCTCCGTTCACCCCCGGTGGCCCCTGTCACCTCCCTGTTTTATTCAAGTGGCTTTTCTGGGACATTCCAGTGAAACACACTGATATTTAATACATTGAATACATTGAATTTCTTTCAAAAAGCACATGGGAAATCTTGTCTTTAAATCCCTCTACCACGCATGTACCCAGAAAAAAAACAAATCATTTTATCTTAAGGACGTTTGCACTAGGCTGTTTTATCACAGCTTAATTTACAATTGCCTAGAAGTGGACTCAACCTAAATGCCCCTCAACTCAGGAAATATAGCAATAAACTAAGAAAAGATCAGCCATTAAAAAAAGATGATGACTTCACATCTTTTGTAATACCCTGGATGGAGTTGAAATACAGTCTTCATAGTAAGGTATCACAAGAAAGGAAAAGCATTTATCTGGTGTATCAATACGATTATGAAGCTATTAGATGATCTCATGTATGCCCAGTATAGGGGAAAATCCCATTTCAATTCAACTTGGAGGGCAATCAGGGAGGGAGAGGTGTTTGTTGTGCCTTCTCGGAATGGGCATGGGGTGGGGTGTTTGGCACCCCTTTTATGTGAGAGCCATAAAGACAAGAGAGACTCCACCTAACAAAATCAAATATTTTGACCTGGTTCTTTGTATCCTTTACATTAACCTGAAATAAATTTACTTTTAGAAAATAAGTATACCAGAAATTTTTGTTAAAAAGCTTTAGCTACCTAGGAAAGTAATGTTACACTACTGGCCAAAATAATTCCAATTTCCATTACATTTCTTATAAAAATATCTCCATAGAATTAACTATTTAATGAAATCCTGTTATATTACTGCCCTTTACTTTCCTACTTATAATTTTTTAAATCATTTTTAATATTTGTAATGGTTGTTCAATAGTAACATGAAACCAATGTATAAACAACTACATCCACACATGTAGTAAAAATACATGTAGATTAAGGAGAGAGGGAGGAGGACAAGAAGGAAAGCAAAAATGGGAGGAGGGAGGTGGATTGGTAAGTTCTCACCTAAGGGGCTCAGTGCAGGGTGTACATCACACCCCTGGGTGAAGGTCTCAACTACAACTTGAGCTTTACCTTAGAAATGCAAACATTGTAATGTAAACATTTGTGACCTCATATTAATCTGAAATTAAAAAGGAACATGATGCCATTTCCTCAGTGTATGTTAGTATAGACATTGGCAATGATCAGTTTTGTAAGTATGTGAACTTTTCCATGTCCTCTATTCTGTTCTGTGTCAATCATGTGTCCCGGTGATCTCACCATGAGTGCATGGTGAACTCAGATGAAGGCAGGAGGTTGGCAGGACTGTGAAGTTGACACTCACAATGGTCTTTACACAGGGCACTTTCTGTGCCTCACTCGTGTTTAGCCAAGATGTGCTTTCAGAACCCTGCCAGACATCATTTGTCGATGTTTTACTTCGAAACTGGTATCCCAACTTTAAGTTCTCCCATTAGTGCTCAACTTGAGGTGAACTCAACTTGTGTGGCAGAGCTGACTGCACTTATATGAGCTTCTCCAGTGGTTGAGGACACAGAGCAAACACTCAGACCGCAGGAATGGTGTGTGACTCTGGGATGTCTTGAATCAAAGGGAGCTTCTAAAATCTACTGGAGACCCTGTAGAAATTGATAAGAACTTGTGACTTGCTGGCATAGAGAGCTGGTGATTACAAAGGCTGAAGTCGATGCAGAAAGAGATAATAAGGAAGCTAAAGAGAGTGCAGTAGCTTGTCATCATGCTGTGGGTGCAGCCTTAAATCAGGTTGTGCTCATACACAAACATTTACAGGACAAGTATCTGCAGGGATACAAAGAGGCTGCTATGCAATGTCAACACTTAGCTCTTGTCTCTAAGCAAAAAAAAGGATGGAAAAAAATAAATTTTTATGCTTAAGTAACCTTTAGAAATTACAATATGGCATCTTGGTGACTTCAGATCATTTCAAACAGATGATATTTAAATTTATCCAGGAAATCCTTGTTATAATGTAGACAGATTAGTTACTATCTTCAATCAACATTTTTTGGGAGACTTTTTGAAAAGCATGTTTTAGTTATTTTTGTGTCATCTATAACCAGCCAACAATATAACCTAAGAAATACTGTAAAAATGGAACATGGC